AGTAGAAATGGGCTCAAAATGATATCTAGTCAACTGAAATGCAATAATTAAATCCATTTTATATGGAAGTGTACTTTGCAACGGTGTTCAAGTCCTATTCTTGACATTTCTTCTGATCATGTCAACTGGTTTACGACCACCACTTCTTTCATGGGCAGAAATGAAGCAGATTTCCGAAAAGATATACCCTCACGAGATTCCCGTCAGGTAGTAGACGCTGAATTGAGATGGAAAGAATTGCTTACTGCTAGTAATAAACTTGCTGAGTTACAAGCCACAAATTTCAGTTTAATTAAAGCAAAGCTATGACTTACAAACCTTGTTCTTTGAAAGGAAATTTTTTGAAACCACTAGTTCTGCCAAGTTTTATCTGTTCAAACACCCATTATCGATTTTAAAAACCACAACTTCAGGAAATAATAACAAACTCTGATAAAGTTTGTTAAATGCTATCGCATGGTGACGTAACTGACGAAGAGTGCGTATATGAAACGCATGTTCATTGTTTTCAAAAGAGCAATATTTTCAGGCAGTTTAACCAGACTGAGAAGATCTAGAACTACGACTAACATATAGAACGAATGCTTTTGCCCCTGACAATTGGCTATTTCATGTTCCGGTTGGAAGTAACTTGGTTTCGTTATTCTCCACAGCAAATTCTGATCTGGAAATATGTAGGAAGGTTTTGCTGTTTAACATCATACAAATATAGGGGCGGCTATTCTTAGGCGGATTTAAAAGTCAAGTATCCGATGGAAATATCAGTAATTTACTTTTGAAACCTTGGACGAGATTTCGCGTACAGTAAGATCCGGCTTATTGGTATAGAGAAAAGAAAGTCCATGGCTGCTATATACGGACTTCCATGTTAATATTCTCCTTGTTCAAATTTCAAACACTGATGTTATAATGGCTGAAATTATCCCGCATGTTCAAGGTCATTGATGGGTGTGACGCTCAAAGGTCATTTTCGTCCATGTTAGTCGGCCATGTTGGATTGCAGTTCCGTAGCCGTTCGTTTACACATTGGCTTTTACGTTTTTTCTGCAGTTATTCAAAACTAATCTTGATGCATATTGTTCAAAAATGTTGCTTTTCAACTCATTTTTGTTTCCGTTGCTGTTAAAATTAGTTATTTCGTTGGTTTCGAAAGTTTTTACCACCACGTCAATGCATTCATTTCATTATAATTGTTTCATACCTTGCATTCATGCGTGATTTCAGTGTTTTAGTCGTTTTTCAGCTATTAATGAAATAGTGCTGTGTAGAAGTTTTGGAAAATATGCACGTGAACATGTTTAGCTGACGAAAGCTGTTGTTTTTAGTTCATTTGCTGGTTGCCATTATTGTTCCTGGCTCAATTGATTACTTAGCATGTTGAAATCTGGAAACTACAATGTCTTTCACATTCATGTTAACAACATGCAGCAATCTACGAGTCAATCTGGTGAGGAGAAGACGATCAGGGTTGATATTGGTGAGTTTTTCGAGGAGCATATTAAACCTGGAAATCTCGGAACGTGGTGTGAAGTTGAAAAAGCTTTGAAGCTTTTCGAGAAGCTGAGTATACCATCAGTGTATATTATCAGTTAAAAAATCAAGTGTTTTTTCAGAGAATCTAAATCAAACAAGGTTGAGCCACATGAGAAGTGTGAATCTGTTGTGCATGTATGTAGCTTTGGAACTGAAAGAAACTGGTGTTTCTACAAAACTTGAAAGCAATCAGAAACCTCTAAATGGTAAGTGTTACCTATTTTTAATAATGCCCAATGTACTAGATCCAAATACATGAACTAGAACCGACTGTAGCAAAGCCAGTGTTAATAGCCATTCAGTGTGTTGCAAAACGACTTAAAAAGCGGACAATATGGTGATCTGGTGAATGTACGAACTATCCCAGTTAAAGGTAAGACTTAAATTAGCAAGAAAAACGTTTCGGGTTGTGGTCTACAATCGGTGGTTACAACAAGCTGAAAAGCTGATTAGTATTCGGGTTGAAAATATTGGCTGAATACAGATAGCTTGTTTCATTTCAATTAATGAGATTTCTACTTTTTTGGATGTTTGTGATTTCTCCGTGGCTACAAATACGGATGACCATGATCTCTAAGAAAACTAAATAACTTTTCCTAGAACAATTGGTTTCTTTTCTTGGCGAAACATCTGTTAATACGATTAGGAGATTAGGTAGCAAAGTAGGATGTTCTGTGATTGAGAATCGTAGTCGTTGTGTTTTGGATTAATATCGCGCTTCTAACTATTATAACCCTATGGATGTGGGTTTTCCCTCATGGCACATTATGGTATCTAGAAGTCATAAGCACACTGTCTTCGGTAAATTTATTCTTACTTTTTAAGTGACTGCAAATAGTGAGTCATTTGAGGTGATAGGATGAATACTTCTAAACGCTTTCGTGGGGATTAGGATATATTTATTTTCTCGACTAGGAGACGATCTTTTTACGAAGAAGGTTCATAGGAAATTCAAAAATAACGTTAAGTTACTCACTGAGGTATTAGCTATGGGAGATTACCTTCAGCGGAAACCACTTTAAGGTAACTACGTAGCTTTAGGTAATGCGTCATAGAAGTAAGCAGTGTAGGTTAATTGTGTCTAAATATATTAAACGTTGAATAACTGGTCAAATCGTAGCTCTTACATGCTAGTTAGTCCTAGAAATAATGGATGCACTGTACAAACGTTCACTTTGATTTTCATACCTAGCTCATAAGCTCGTATACATTTAAGACTGGTACGCTGTGTGATGAGTTTTGCGAAACACAAGAAGAATAGGTCAAGTATAGGTAAGACTCATGAACTGATAAACTGTTAGAGGAGGGGATGGGTTATGCTTGAGTGCCTTAACTTCTTAATGTGAACAGTCAGACGAAATATTATTTTAGAAATCGCTAAGACATGGGAAGACCAGGATTGGTAAGGAGAAAGAATCCGTCAAAGATACTTAACGTCAGACTTGATTTCTATATCACTGTCATCAATTATACAACGGTAATGGGAATTAACAGCTTCATTTAACTTTCTTTTACATCTAAAACTGAAATTAACTGCCTGATATTTGGAAAGATATAGTTTAAGGCCGTTAGACGAAGACCATTTGCTAATTCCTGATAGAAAGCTGTTCATTTTAGTACCGTCTAGCTGGGAGTTGACAGATACTGAAATAGTTAGATCATCGGTAAACTTAACAAAGTAGATATTAAAACACTGCAGTTGTTGATCATAGAAATGCTGGATATTAGATAACATCACATGATTCAACAGCATATCAGAAATAAATAAAAATTGTTTCTAAGCTCACCGCCAAGTAGACAGTCTATTTGATGATGCCACTGCATATTAACTGATTAATGAAGTAGCTATCGGCCCTAATTTACTACATTTACTTGTGCTACATACTTGGCGTTTAGCAGTATACAAACTTGCAACTGGCTAAATAAGGCGACTTTAGCGTAACGAACATTACGGAATTATTATTCAACTTGCTAAATCCGACTTAGATTTTATAATGTGCTATTGTATAGAAACAGACTCGAAATCCTATGAATGATTAAAGTAACAGTCTCATAATACTGTAGTAAATCTCCATTCCACTAAGCCTAACATGCACTAATCAGAATTCACATATTATGAAAGCTCATGGTATAGCGACGCACTGAAGACGTTCAAAAGAAGAAGTAGAAATGAAGAGTATATTAAACACTTTCTTAGTTTACAAGAGAAAATTCTGATGAACTGTATCAGCTTTAGTTTGACAGATTGACATTTCCACTGATTTCACATTCCACAACCTCCAAATACCTAAAATATGAAGCACAACATGAAGTTATGAAAGATAATTTTATATACTATTATCTAATAATAATATACTGATTCTATTAATACTAAGTAAAGTTCTCATACAATTAAAAGAGCATAGCTTTCTGAATCCTACAGAAATTACATTCTCATATTTAGGAACCTGTAGTCATCAAATATAAGCTAAACATGCCTCAACTCTAAGCAACTATGCACAGTGTTAACAACATAGAGTGTTACATAGAGAAACACTTAAAATATTGTAAGATACGCAGACCTGTTGTGTTGATGAGGATAACAATGACATATAATGCAACCTAGACACTTAATCGTGACACTGCATCCGTACTGTTTCAGGTAAATGGAAATTTCAGAAGAAATTCATCTCCACTATTGGTGATCAAAAACATTGCAGTATTAAGTTTAGTGTCAGACGGTAGATTAATAATAGAGCTAACTAGATTCAATTCTCGTAATCAACACAAACCATGTGTATATTATTACTATACACTGAATAATTGCCCTAAGCGTAACACTGAGGAAAATTAAACCAGTTATTGCCTTCTCAAATGCACTGCACTTGCAACAATCACGAGAACTACCTACATTTCTTAGCCTAGCAGTCAGCTAAGCAAACAATGGCACAATATTAATACATAACCCATATTATACTGCGCAAATCAATGTAAATATACATTAAATTCACTTAAAGATAACCTTTCAACTTACCATAATTCCTGTCCAAACACATACAGTGAAAGACACGGCTACATGATTACTTCTGTTCCCACAGAGGGTTCTGTTAGCATTTATAGGTGATTCCCATGTACTGATAGCATTCTTTTGTCAAATAGTACTGTTCTGCACACAAAAATAGCTACATTTTGACGTGGTCTTCATTGAATGGCACTATGTCGAAAGCTGCAGCTTCTACTAGAAGTAAACTATTTGTGTAGATGTCATTAACCTCCAACTACTCCATCTTCTTCATTATAGCGATGTTTCGACTGATTCCACATGAAACACTAATCATTACAACCAATATCCTTAGAGTGTGTCGCAGTCAGATTACATGACGCGGACACCAACATACCTAGCCAGGAAATGAGAATTCCTATCAATTCAGAAAACATATAACACATTTTTATTGAAAATTATTGATTATAAAAATTTACCGAGCGAAATTTCAACCAACATGCCGGATAAGTCCAGCCGTTATAACACCTTAACTTTTAAGCTTGACCTTCACATGGTCAGGGTCAACGTTCATTGCTATCCCAGAAATTCGAAATTTGTTAACATCGGATGCCTAAAGGTGTGTTTTCTACGAGGAAGTATATCAGTCCCTTGAGTCACTTGGGAAGGCAATTTACAAGAGTTCGAAAAACAACATTTCTCCTCTTTATTTTCATTAAAATCAATTGAATAACAATTATTTGAATGAAGTACCTTCAAACTCATCACAAAACCTAAGAATTCTGTTGTCTCAATGCACATCTGAATTATAATTTCATAGAAAGGTATTGAAAACATTTTTGGTTACTTATGAATCTGTCTACAATTTCGTGAACAGTTACTGGAACTATTTTATTATTTATCATGTCATTAACCGAAACCCACTCAACTCTTATGAGTCATTATATATTAATATTTATCATATGTGGTATATTATAATCCTGTTAGATTGCAGACTGATACATCTCTGGCACAACGCCTTTAAGCGAAGGCTGGACAACCATGCAGCGACACAAGGACTGCATCCAAATGGCCTATCCCCTTAAAATCGCATATACCATTCAAAGGTAGACAATTAAACTGGTCGTTTTACTTCTTCACATTCCCCTCAGTCTTACTCTCCTGACAGCTTTAACTACACCTATTATTATTATTATGATTATTATTATTATTATCATTATCATTATTGCTGGTTATATATATATATATATATATATATATATATATATGTATACCGGTTGACTGACTGTTGTTACGTTTTCTTATTCTTTCTCTGTCTGTTAGTCTGAATACCTTTACTAATTATATCTATTATTATTATTATTATCTCTTTTCCATTGACGACGATACCGAAAGACTAACTGGTGAAAGGATCAACTCCATTCACAGTAGTAACAGTCTTAACACACTTCATACTACAAACCCCATATAATTAACCCCAGCACTACTCCTGTTGGAGTCAACCAAAGCTACGACAGTCGAGTGGCGGGACGAGCTACACAGACGTTTACCAAAGATCAGGAACCTCTACCTCACAATCAAGAGGCGAGCACAAAGAAATCAAATTGGTTTATACTAGCTCGTAAAAACGATATTGGATATTGGAATGCATAGGATTGCTCAACGTGATAATACAATCACTCCTATTAGCAGATCTGTAGTTACTTTGTAGTTGTAAGTATATGTATATATATGCATACTTGTAAGTATGTTACTCCCCATCAATCCTCAACTCTCTGGGAGTTTTCGTGACATTCAAATTTTCCTCTGATTACCTTTGCTGGTACATTCGGTTTGTATAGTTTAAATTTCGTAAAAAGGAAGTTCGTAATTACTACACTAGACAATTTTTCCCTAAAATGGCCAACCTGATACAAATTTACAATTTTTTTACTGGGAATCTTGAGACATAAACCGTCCTGGTCATACAGACAGAGAGTAGAAAATGAATTGCACCATGCATTGGTCGTGTGTGCCACCCATTCATATACTACAGTGATGGTGGGGAAATAAAATGAAAGTGGTACGGATAAGGGTATTTAAATGTTTTGGTGCAGAAGAATAAAAGAATAAGTAAGCAGAAAATTGCGGTATTATTGTTAGCGCGGTCGGTGATGTATAATATTTCTGAATCTCTAACCATGTGTCCCTTTCGCCTCGAGAATCACACGCAGACACTTCACATTACTCAGACCAAAACCAACGGATTTATGGACTTGTACCACATCGTAGTTTGGCAGTTTTTCGCTTCTTCCTACCGTAGTCCTACTTTCAGTAGCGGAGAGTATCATGTCGAACCCGAAAAAGAGCAACCTCAGACACTGAAGTCTTATAGTGTGTCTGACTTTCGTACCTGTTTTGTCTGATCTTTTTGCATGAATCGGTTTTGAAGAACATTAGTACTACTACAAGAACAGTGGTGGTAAATTACATGGATATTTTACAGGCGCTCAGCTGTTGATGGCTATATTTCATGGCTGTGAACTGGGGCAGATTACGTTGCTGAGATGTAAATTCGGCTCTTTGCAAGTGACTGGATAATATTTTCGTAAGACGGATGACTTTCACTATGTGGTTAGGGAAGTTCAGTTATGCGATGCATACATAATGGTACAGAATAAATATTGGAATTTGTTAAAAACATACTAAAAGTTTTTGTTTCATGCCTGTAGCTGTCATCGCATTCCGAGTTCACTAATGCTTGTTGACTCTAGGAAATAGTACGCATATTTTTTATTTGAAACAATACTATTTACTAGATGACATTTTGAACGCAATTTGTTGTTTATAATCATACCAAACGTAGCTACACTTCCTCAAAACTCGATTTTTTTATAGGTCTTGCTGTTCTTTCCCATTTTTCGTGAGGATAGTCGAATTTTCCGTATTTCTGGTTTCGAATCGTTCTTTCTTTTTCTTTTATAAGCATTATTCAATTTACTTTAAGATAGCGTTATATTGTTTTTACGAAATATCCAATTTGTTGGAAAGACAAAGTGTTTCCCTATGCATTTCACGATATTTTCCCCTTCGAGTAGTTACTCGTTAGAAAATATTCTTGTTCCCCATTATATTTCGTGTATGTGCATGAACGTTTATCCTTGACTAGGTTTTATAATTGCTTCATGTCTGTTTATCACCGATTCTCTGTTTATTTTAATTCTTAGATTTCACTTAATACCATAATTTTTTCTTTTTTTTATGTGAAGACGTTTTCGCTAGTGATTTTTTATAATTGCTCACGGCTTCTTGTTTCTCATATTTCATTTCAGAAGAATTAATTTCGATTGATCAATGAGGCGCTATCCTATAAAATTCCGACCTGTAATCACTGTTGTCCTCCTCTTTTGTATACTTGGAGTACTTTGGCTGATAAGTAGACCAAATAAATCTGTCGTAGAGTATCGGGTATGTTGTCACAATGTTCATTCTAGCATGAAGTTTATATTCACTGGTAATATCCTTTAAATTGGAGTTATAACTCATGAAATTACTATGAAATGTGGTAGATATCATGAGAATGCAGAAACCGGATGAAGTCAAATAGGAGTTGACTGCTAAATCTTTAGTACGGTATCATTTACTGTTAATTAGCGACTGTATAATAATAAACAGTGATGTGACTGAACAGTTACATACAAGCTTGCACATCAGGTTATGGGTTATGTGTATTATATGAGGAAATCAGTACTAGTCTACTCATAATATGTCAAGTGGAGCGATTCTAAAACTCATGAACTACTGCTGTAAAGCTAAGTGCTCAGATTAATAAACTATCTCTGTCTGTCTGGATTCAACATAGAACTTGGCACCGAAGTGCAGCAGTTCGAGTTGCCACGTTCCAAATAGCACACAAAGGTAGACAAGAAAATGAGTGAAGAGAATCAATAGAGTTTTGACAAGTATAAGAGTGAAACAGAATGAGTAATGGTAGAAAGGAATATGAAAGATTACAGAGACTGAATATATCTGCGCCATTGACAACGATTTTGAGCCATGTCACCTATTGTCTCCAGCCATTGATTCCTAGAGTCCCGAGGGCCCCAACCCGGAAGTCTGCATCTCCCTACCTGACTCAGTTTAACTGTCAGGGATTTCATGGATTGATGCCATGTTTTTGTTTGGCCACCGCTTACTCTTTTCCAACCTGCACCTATATCAGCTAGTAATGCTCTTCGGGGGAGGCGATGGTTAGGCATGCGCAGCACGTGACCTAGCCATCTCAATCTATGTAACTTTATAGCCTCTTCGATCGATTTTCCCTCTTTGCCCAACACTCTACGCCTAACGTCAACATTACTTACCTTATTATGCCGACTAACGTGAGAAAGAGATCGTAGACAACTATGATCAAAAACAGTCAACCTTTTCATGTCTTCAACTCGTATTGGCCATGTTTCAGAGCCATAGAGAAGGACGGAGCGAACTGCTAAGCAATACACACGTCCCTTGGTTGATAGCCGAATGTGTAATTTAGCGAAAGCAGCTCGAGCTTTTTGGATCCGTGCTGAGATTTCGTCACCAATCAATCCGTTGGTGCTAATACAACTTCCCAAATAGGTGAAGTGGTCAACATGTTCTATCACTTCGCTCTATCACTAAGCTAGGAGTTGACGTTTCGCGTGCACTTGGATTGTGAGGGTGATTGTTACTTCCCGGCTGCCCACACCGTGGAAGTCGGTTGCGTGACCGCAGAGCCCAGGGGATAACTGCTTGAGGCCAGTCACACACGGCCTGTTTTTGTTTTTTCTTTTTCATTTGATGTGTCTCAGTAGCATATTTATCACTTCTGCCCTGTGACACGGCAGCAGGAAGCGCGGTCGTTGTTAATCCGGGCCCCGACCGATCCGGTATGGTATTTTGTGATTTACTTTGAGTCATAGCATTGGGTTGGGTAACTGCTTTTTGTCTAACCGCTATCCAAACAACCTTTCTGGCATGGTAGGACCTCAAGCGACATAAGTCTCAGCCAGTATAGCTTGTTGGGTCATTGTAGTGTTCAAGCCCGACCACCACGTCAAGGTAGCAGCTTTCGGTCGGGTGTAAACTATCACTGCATTGTCATTTTGAAACCCATTACATCGTCTAGAACCATTAACTTGTTGCTCTTATACTGGCTATTCAGTTGTACTTATGGCTCTATAAAACAAACACTTTTAACCCATTGTTTGACACACCAAACTAGAAATCTTTACTTCTGAATAGAAACGTAATAACGAATAATAAAAGCTCAGGCTGCAAGTGTTATAGTGGTTTTGTTGCTCGATATTGTCAGACCTCGTTGATACAGCTTTCAAGGTCGGCTTCTGCGTTATATTTATTGCTACTTGACAGGCAAAGCTTAGAGAGCAACAAGACTCCTACTATGAATGCATTGTTGTTACAGTCTAATGCCTCAAATGGAGCAACATAACCATTATGTTACCATTAAAATACTTCATTCAAGACTTATTAAGTTAGGTATTAAATACATATATTACAGCTAAATTCACAAAATGAATGTGAATGATTTTTTGACGTCTGTGCATGTAGTCCCATTATTTATGGCATAGTGTTTACATTACTATAAATACTCAAAGTGTACCGCTTCCTATAGGTGTTTATCTCACTCACCTTCATCAAAACTGTCATTTTTTAGTCATGTGGATGTTTCACCAGACAGCTATGTGAAGTACCCATCGAATTAATTGGAAAGATTTGTAGATCATGTAATGTGGTTGTGTACTCCCAGCTGGATGGCGTGACTGCCACTCTAGACAACATCTTCAGCACTTACTTCAATGTGAAGCGAGGTTTTTAGTCCTCTGTGAATTACATCACTGTCCCTCTTGATGAGCTTAGTTGTAATTGGCTGTCTTTAGAGGTTTTTTTATTTGTATTATTTTGCATTAATTTATATTCGTATTGACCTCGATCTTGGATTTGACCTTTTTTCCATTTCAGCCATATGACTTTATTTTGCTGGTTGATGTATTTGATTTATGTCAATATACCATTTAAGTGATGACTGAACTGAGTACCAAACTTCTAAGAATTCTCTTCTAGTCCTTCTTGTATTCCCATTGTTTAGAATTTTTTACATTCTTCCTAGTCAAACTGATGTCCATAGCTGCCTACATGTATTGATATGAAGGAATACATATCATGTCTTTTGATGGCTAGTCTCTGTTCTCGGATTCGAAATTGCAGGGGACGTCCACTTTAACCACTAGGGCGCTATTCATGACAGATACGATTGATTTTGCAGCTGGTGTTGGTCTTGTCTCCTTCGGTTGCTACATCTTTTGGTTAGCATAGTACTGAATGCAGTGATTGTGTTAGTTTCATGGGCAATATCTATTCCGAAAGATTTCATTACTTTATCCGTTATGTGTAAAATGCTTTCCATATATGACGGGATGAATTTTCGTGTTTTTCTGAGAATGGCATTTTTGCATGTAGTTTGATTTGAAGTTGTGAGGGTACCTATTTTTTTTAATAAGGTTAACAGAAGCTACTCTTGTCTTCACGACTGGGGTAGTGTGGTGTTTCTTGGCTCTATTAAATAATGTTGCACACTGTTTTTATTGTGTGCTGTTAGATTATTAGAACAAGACATATGAGCGAACGATATTGTTTTCAATTAGATCTTCAGGCTTTACTCTAATTTACATAGATTTATATATAAATTTTTTTAACCAATGACGGTGATTTTGTGTAACAAGTAATAATGAAGTAATAATAATAATAATGTGGTAAATGTTTTGAACGTAGTTAATAGCGATGATTATAATGATAACAAAATATTGATAATAAGGTTTATTCAGGTGGCGATAAGAATAACAAAGGTAGTATATGTATATGTATATGTAGACAATTCAATAAATAAATCAGGTCAAATCTTAGAAGTTACGTAATACTAAAGGTGAAGTGGACAGATAATCAGAGTTTAAATAAATATCATAAAAGTACGAAGGAGATGGAAAATAAGAAAGGGTTTTGAATTGAATTGAATTCACCTAGACCAAAGGAGAGACAAAGGTAGGATAAACTTCTTTTGTATGAAAAGACTAGGATTGTTCTCTCGAATTCCCATAGCTTCGGCTATGTGTAAAAGACAGGTTCACATTCCTTTCGAAAGGCTCGATGGAATGCGATAGATAACTTTGAAGGCACTACTTTTGTCCACTTGGTGACCGCTATCAATCAAATGAGCCGAAATAGAACTTCGCATGAATTTTATTTGACGTTTCCAGAACCACGAAGGAAGATGCTCATTAACGCGTTTGTTAAGCTGTCTAGTTGTTCGCCCTATATAACTGTCTCCACAGGAGCAACTAAATTTGTAGATACACATAGAAGTGGCACAGCTAGGTAGCTTGTCTTTCACTTGAGCAATCATAATTGGTCGGCTGGAAAATGACAAACAAAGGGTGGCGGCAGTATAAGTCCGTTTTATCGCTCTCGATAATCTCAGATGTAAGACTTCGCTAGCCACGTCCCCATTAAATTGCAATTTCATGAACAGTTGTTTCTTATTAACTGTTGTCAGTTTCTCTTTATTATACCTGGTGTTCATGTGTCTCCTTACAAATCTACTAGGATAACCCATTTGAACCAGCGTTCCCACGGTAAATGTCTCTGAAAATCATCTGGAAGCAAGTCGTACTTAGTTATTTTAATGAATCAATTTTCTGACTTAATTTATGCCTTTTTGATATTTATCTTTCATCATAGAATGATATTATCGGCCTTTCTCAACAATATATCAAAGCTTTAGCCAGTGCGCAAAATATTGGTCCTGATGATGCGTATAGTGCAGAACTGACTGGATATGGTATGTGTTTCTCTGTGTTTATAATTATCAAAGAATTGTCTTCTCTCTAGAAAGTTTTATTATTACCTTAACGAATTGTGTTCATTTAATGCAATTTAAAGCCTATTTGGATGATTGTTGTATGCCTCTCGTGTTCCCCAGGTGTTAGTTATCTCACATGCTAAATGAAATACTTTGCTTGCCAAACGTTTCGTCTATCAAAACATAATGAAATGTTTACTAGATAAGTTTGTCATGAAACATTTCTTGGTTATTTTTATCTCACATTGCATCGTATTATTTCTGTGGTGTAACCTGTCTGTCAACATTACCTATGCATTTGAATTCCGATACAAATAGTTTATCTTTGTTATGGTGGACAATCTGAAAACTATCCAAGATGGAATTCTCAACTTTAAGTGTTGTGCTGAAAGAAGATAATCTCATCCTCAGGATACAGAGGAATTCTCGAATTATATGAGGTCAAAGAAAATAACAACTTCAAAACATGTGATTCAGCTCTTGTGTGGCGGTTATCTCAGGTAAAGTGTACAATGTACTCAATGTAAATTAAACAAGAAGTTGCCTGGTTATTTCCACATGAAAAGTGAGATCTATTCACCATTGCCAACTAAACAGAAAATTCATATGAACTGTGATTATGATTTGACCGAATAGTTGCAAAATAATTGAGCGCCGAGTGAGAAGTAGACATTTGTAAAAAAAATTATATTTGTAAAATCTAAGCGAAATTGAAATGATTAATTTCAACGTTTCGTTCGGCAATCTGGTCCGAACTTCTTCGGGGAAATAAATCGAAATTAACATAACAGAGGTTTGTATATAAAAGGAACATCTCTTGTTTTTGAAACTTTGTCCAATCATGAGTCATGAAACAGGCATCAACATGTATAATAAACAAAAATTGTATGAACTGTGATCAAAATCTGACCTCAGACTTTCAACATTAGGCTACTTTTGTTAAAATATATGTGTATGTGCAGTACACAATGGTGTGTGTATGTATGTGTGGGTGAAGAGTCATAAAACATTTCGAAGATATAGACAATCGGGAATTTTGACCAAGTATGAATAATTGTTGATACATATCCAATTTTTATTTATCAATCAGGATTTGCCATGCATCAGCTAACATCACACCTTCAGGTCGGTTCAAACTGTTGGGATTCACCCATATATTCCACGGCTTCTGCAGTCAGTCTTTCTTTATACGAACCAAAACCTTTCTGTAGAACTTTAGTCTTATCAAAGTCGATTTTGTGTCCCGTTTCTATCGAATGCTGTGCAGTCTCTGATTTGTTTTCTAGCTCCTTCAATTCTTCAGTGGTCTTTGGACCCACCTTTAGACATTGTTTATGCTCTTTCACCCTTATATTTACCTATCTGGTAGTTTCTCCTACATATATGGCGTTACAATCCCCACATTTGATCTGGTATACGCAATTCTACTGGTTTTCTTGTTCTATTTTATCCTTAACCTTTACCAGTAATGAGTGTAAGGTGTTTGTTGCACGAAAATACACTCTTATGTTATGATCGTTAAGGATTCACTTTATTTCATTGGATGTTTCTTTGCGGTAGGGAATCACCTCTGTACTAACCCAATTCTTAGCATCAGGTTTCGATTCATCCTCATCTTCACATTTTAAATATCTTTTTATGAAGGCTTTAGGATAATTATTTGCTTCAAGAGTGGATTGAACCAATTTTAATTCCCTGCTAATCTCTTCCTCCTCAGTAGCTAGACGTTTGGCTCTGTTAATCAGATTCTTGGCCACAGTCGCTTTGGTGGTAAATGGGTGTGCCGTCCGAATTTGTCGGTTTTCTGAAAATGTTTATTTTAAATTTGCCATCCAGTTTTCTTTTTATTAAGCAGTCCAGGAACGCCAACTCATTCTCATCGGATTCAACCTCTTTGGAAAACTCGATAGTTTCTTACATATTGTTTACTGAGTGAATAAGTTCATTTAACAAACTACGTTTGATTATGACGAAGGTATCATCCACGTATCTTAACCACATCTTTGGGGGAATAGGGCATCTCATAATTGCATTTATTTCTAATGAGTGCATAAACAGATTGGTGACTAGCGGAGATACTGGTGATCCCATAGCAACGCCTTCTGTTTGATGGTAAAGAACCCCTCTAAATGTAAATAACGTGGATCGAAGACACAATTCTAACGCCTTCATAATTTCGTCTGGATTTAAAGGACAACGACCACGGAGTTCGTCATCAGAATAAAGTATATTATAAATTATACTTAAAGAATCATTAACGAGAATATTCGTGAATAATCAATAAACATCGAAACTTGCCATTACTTCATCTTCTTCAATATGAGTCAAGTTTATTTTTCGCTTAAATTCAAATGAATTCTTCGCTTTATGCTCCACTTTCATTTCATATGGGCTAAGTATTCGATAAATGTATTTAGAGAGTTTGTATGTTGGGGAATTAGTAAAATCCACTACTGGACGTAATAGAACTTCTGATTTGTGTATTTTTGGTATTTCATAAAATCAGCAGGGGCTGCAACTTTTTGGAGCTAGAGTAAACCAAAGTGATACACCGAGCTTCTCTTTTATTGACTGTAACATTTTCCTTGTTTCAGCTTTCAGCTAATTCAATGTCGCCCTTGATTTTGTCACGTTGGATTTTTCATAAGGTTCGACATTAAGATGATCAATGGCCTTCTTTTCGTAATTTGCAGAGACCATGACAACCGTGATATTTCCTTCTTCTCTTAAAGTGGATTTTGTTCGCCAAAGTTGCAGGATTAGGTTGGAAAAGGTTTAGGACTGATCGTATGAAAAAAAGAAAAGTCCATAAAGTTATGACTGCTAGTCTTCAGCCCCATGAAGTGGTATAGGTTGCCCGGTTATGGTAGGTTTTCCGGTTGCTTAAATGATACCGCTCAAAACAGTTCACAATGATGGAAACTTGTTCGCTATTCTCATTTGTGGTGAGAGCTGTCTGCAAGACAAAATTGTAGATAACAATTGACGTCAGTGTTTACATCCCGAATCGGGGTCATGAGAAAAAAAACAAGAACAAAGCCTAACCTTGAGGAACTCAACAACCAATCACAGCAGACTTAGCGTGTGCAAATACGATTCGCAGATATATAGATAACTTTGTAAGCAAAGGTCACAAGCAGTACAGAATAATCTTCACCAAGGAAAACCAATCAGAAGACGTTGCTTCTCTGCTAACAATAACGAATAATAATGTACATAAAAATCTATTAATATCTCTTGATTTTCCCAATAAACGATCTGTTGCCTGACTCTTGTCTTCTGTCGTTACACATTCACATTCGGAACATCTTGGCTACTCTTCTCAAAACTATCCTTTCTCCCAAACAACGTTTTGCCTATTGTGTAGTTTCATTAAATTTCTGTTCCCTTTTGTGAGCTTTTTTCGTGTGTAGTGATAATTTAATTTGATGCCCATCTATGCAAACTTCCACATTAGTTCACTAGTCAGTCATTTGCCTCCTCTTTGTGGGCAATTGAAACTGATGTCTAGATTGATATCGAAACTCTGTCAATAAAATTTCAAATTCCGAATATCAACCTTTCATAACCTGTACTGAAAACATTCATCAGTCTATGCCAACCGAAAACGTTTAAAATCGTTTTATCTCAAGCAAGGCATAAATTATTGTAAGTGCGTCAGTGGCATAGTGGTTAGGACGTTCACCAACCATGCACAAGGTCCGGGGTTTGATCCCCGGCCTACGCACTCCTTTACTTCGCTAAGCCAGAAATAATGCTGGTGAAGAGGAAAGGTTGGGCATGAGGCTAGCGACACCATCCTGGACAATAAACACTGCTACAGAAACTTCAAGCCACTAGCTTGAAGCCGTATGTTCCACTGGGGAACGTGAAGAAAAAAAAGGCATAAAGTATAAACTACTGTTAAGCTATCTGATGTCGTTGAATCGATTCCATTCAATTTATAGAACATTCGACCACCGTAAATGTCATATCTCTCCATGGTTACATCTGACAACTTTTTGTTTGATAATTCATTGGTGAATGTTGAAGAGACATTAATGCTAATTTGCAAAAATGCATACATCTTACCACTATTCTGTATCTTTTATGAATTTTTAAGGATTCATTTGCCTTTTGTACTTGATTTAAATTGTACCTTAGTTCAGTTTCTGTTGTTATCTATTTGCTGAGATTGTCTACCACATGTATCAAAGTCATTTGCATTTTCCATATAGCTGTCATTTCTAATATGCTTGTATTCTTTTTTACTGATAAGCAAGTATCTCTTATTGATCCTTTGAATGTCGGGTTAATTCCATCTCTTGTTCATATATATGTATTATTATTTTTTTACATATTTCCAATTCTGTCTGCTTCTGCTTATTACTTGTAAGTTATCGGTCGAAATTATCGTAGTAATCGTGATATCATTCTTAATTACATTACTAAGTGTTGTCTAGCTAGCAACCAAAGAAGTTTCCGCCTATGAAATTATGCAATCAGTATATCACGTAATAATTAAGTTTGATCATAGATTGTTATCGGTTAGAGAACTGTTGAAAACCAGGGAGTACTGGACAACCGTTTCGTCCTTGCTTGGGACTCTTTATCAGCATGCACCGACGAAGTCGCCGGGGATCGAACCCAGGGCCTTCAGGTTATGAGATGAGCTGCCAATTCGCGATATGTGGCGCTACCTCTAGCCAATGGTTGTCAGTGAGTACGTTGTTACGTCCAACTTGGTGAATCTCTTTGGTTATGAATTCTCACTAGAACTTCAGGAAACATTGTCCTTTAGTCAGTCACTAGAACTAAACAGCTGTCCAGTACTCCCTGAGTTTCTATCGTGCTCGAACTAATATCAATCTGTGATCAAATTGGGAACTAATCAAATCCCTAAAAACTAAAACTTGGAAACACAATAATTAGCCTTTCAGTAGGATACCTACTTCAATTAAGGCAACTGAATAGTGTCATGAGCCCTTACACTCATGAAGTGAAGTGTTATTCTTAGGCTTTGTTTATTCCTTCACGTTCCCAGTGGAACATAGGGCTTCAAGCTAGAGGCCTAAAGTTTCTGTAGCAGTGTTTATTTTTACAGGATGGGGTTGCTAGCTTCATGCCCAACCTATCCTCTTTACCAGCTTCTATTTCTGGCTTAGCGAGGTGAAGGAGTGCGTTCAGCGGCCGGGGATCGAACCCTGGACCATGTGCATGGTTGGCGAGCGTCCTAACCCCTGTGCCACCGACGCACGATTCTTAGGCTGGCACATGATAAATCTGTTACAAGTAACTGAGATCTAAATAACTAATAGGCACCATTCATACATTGATTGGTTACTAGGGTGTAACCAATGTCATGTGTCCAGTCCTCGGTATCAGTGCAGACTCAGTTTTGTCAGTCAAGTTTTGATATATGGTCCTACTGAAAGTTGGTCGTGTCCCCGAATAGCTCGATGGAAATGCCTCAGCATACAGCACTGGGTGACGTGGGTTCGAATGGCCCGAGGGGACATCAATTTCAGACACACCCTGAAGTCTAGGTCCATGGTTTCTCTCCGATTGCATTCAGCCGCCTGACATTAATTCAGGCACAGTTCATTTAAACAATTTCAACAAATTTGGAAGTTGTATTAAAATACTTAATTTTTTTTACACGGAAATTATGTTGTCTATTTGTGGAGAAGGAATGGGTTATGATTTAATGTTGTATCATTAGGCTAATCACGAGTTTTTTGTCATTGCAGCTAATGTACTAAATTTGAAGAAGAAATAATAGTTTAGAACATGTTTTGTCTTGTATGTTGGATGAATACAACAAATTTTTGTTTAAAAAAAAACAATAACACAATATTCTAATAAAAAATGGAATGAAAACTAAGTTCATGTAGTAGTATTAATGAAGACAAAACAAAGAAGAATCACAGTACAAAATTATGCAAAACAAAATCCTCCATACAATCAAAACAAAAATCCCTACAAAACCAATGCTTGAAAATTAATCTGATGCTCACTAGTGACTGGCCCTATTCAGGCAGTTAACCTGGGGTTCTAGTGGGAAGCCGTGACCAGTAGGGTACAGCAGTTCGAAGATGAGGCCTTAACTCATAGAAGAAGATATTGCGAAATGGTCGCGCTATGTCGTGAATTGGCAGAAGTTAGAATTCAAGAACCATTGGATCGGGTCCCAGTGGCTCAGTGGTCTACGAGGTCGCCTTGTAACCAGAAGGTCCTTGGTTCGAATCCTGGTGGATGAGTACCGATGAAGTCCCGTAGAGCTAGGACGAAACAACTGTCCAGTACTCCCAGGTTCTTTAACTGATGTCAGCTCATTATGAAATCCTCCATCAAATCAAAACAAAAATCCCTATAAAATCAATACTTCAAAACAAAATAGTTTATGTCTAAGGATAAATCGGATACTCGATTGATGAAATGTTCAAAATCATAAGGTGACTTCGGGTTCTTGATAGTAGATCCGATGAAGGTTTACTGCTTTTATTCAATTATTATACTCTGCTATGTGATGGTAATCTCTGTTGTCTTGGAGCAACTGATCAACTTCACTTGTTGTAATGGCAGAACTATTTATTTGTCAGAACGATTTGCAGTTATTTTCATTGGACACTAGTAACTAGTGTGACGTGTCTAGTCACTTTTTTTGGTGCAGACTGAATTCTATCAGTCAGGTATTTGCAATGTGGCCACCATTCTAGGTAGCCAACTAGCACGAAACCTAGGTCCAAGGCTTCCTGCCGATTGCCTCCAACTATCTAATATCATCAAATCAATGTGCACCGTGATGGCGAGCTACCTAGAATGGTGGCCACATTGCAAAACCTGACTGATAGTCTGCACCAAAGAAAGGACTAGACACGTCACACTAGTTACTAGTGTTCAATCAAAATACCCACTACAGTCCTACAGGAGGCCAATCGCGAGCCCGAATAGCTCAGTGGTAACACCTCTGACTGCAGTACTCACTGGGTGACGCGGGTTCGAATCTCAGGATGGACATGAGTTCCTTCAAGGTTGCAGATACGCCTTGCTGATGAGTGCCAAGTAGCACGAAACCTAGCTCAGGTGTGGCTTCCTGCCGATTGCTTCCAACTATCTAATATCATCAGATTTGCACTTATTTTTCCCATTCCTTTGCCTTCCGAGTGGAACACACAGCTTCGAATTTGAGCTTTGAAGTCTCAGTAACGGTGAGGTATCTGGTCTCACCTCCAACCTTTCTTCTCCTCCTGCATTACTATGGGCTAGTAAACTAGGCAAGACTTAGTAGTGAGTCGTCCGGGAATCGAACCTTAGACAGGACCACTTGCATGACTGAAAAGCATTCTATCCTTGAACCATCGATGTACACCTATAGTAGCAAAATACGAAAACCTTACATTGGAATTTCAATTTGTTAAAGTTATGCGTATTCTGCTTCATTTATCTTCACTCTATGCTTCGTATATTATTTATTTCACAAGGATCTTTCATTACTTCTCTTTCCAACTTAATCCATCACTCCGCTATTCAAGATTCTCACTGAAGACATTACACACAATTTACTGCGTATAAATTCTTATTATACATATGCATTACTTATTTTTTACTGCGATAATGAATTCGGTAAATGAGTATGGCTAGTATGAGGCTATTAAAACAAAAATGTCGCTATTAAATGTAAATAGATAAATGGATACGCTTCGTACAGCGTATACAGTTCTTTGTGCATATCTGACCTTGAAACTTTATCCCACTGACAGTGGTACTGTAACAACAGAAGACAAGGGCCAGGCAACAGATCGTTTATTTAGGAAATCAACAGATATTTACAGGTTTTCATGTACGTTATTACAGATTATTGTAAGCAAACAAACACAGTCTTCTGATTGGTTGTTTTCTCGCTGAAAGTTATTCTGTCATCTCTTTGTGGCCATTTCTTTGAAGGTCAGACCATATGTCTGCGAATCGTATCCGCCCACGCAAAGTCTGCTGTGATTGGTTGTTGAGTCAGTCTCTGTTCTTATTTTTCTCATGACCAACATTGGGGACGTAAACATTGACGTAAATTACTGTCTACCAATTTTGGCTAGCAGCCAGCTCTCACCACAGTACTACCTTAATTACTACATGTTCATTTGATTATGAAATATATAAATGACTGTTCCCTTCTCTAACCACATTGCGCAGTGTTCATCAGAATGCTCATAGGTGTTTTTTTTTGTTGTTAACGATTTATCAAAATTAATTTTTTTTTAAAACCCTTCTCATTCTGTCTATCTGTCTATACGTTTAATAAATTTTTAGATCTTAAGAAGACTCTGGCTGTTATTCTCGATGATTTATTACGTCGTATTGACCTAATAGAATCAAAACTTTCCAATCAAACAGACACATCTATTAAGATTATAAAAGAAAGTCCCGAGAATCTCAACCCTCAATCTGTTGCTTCGCATACTTTACGTACTTTAAAAATGCGTAGCAATGAAGCATTCAATAAGACAGTTGATCACTTAGGTATGTATGTTTTTTTGGAAAAAGTGAATAAATGTGTAAATACTCTGTTTCTTTTTATTGATTATTTCTATAGGGCATAGATGAGATTTTCAGCATATTTTGTTTAGTAATTAGTGCATTTAAGTGAAATACGTTTTTCGCAAACTTTGTGTTCACTAGAGAGATGGTGTTGTGTTTCACGAGGATAGGTTACTAGCCTCACGTCAAACCTTTTTTTCCAGGCTTACTTCCGACTGCAGGAGGTTTAGGAGTGCGTTTGCTGGGAATCGAACCCTGACCTCAATAGTGACCGGTGACTGGATTATGCGTCAGATTGTGGGGAACGAGCAGTCAGAAATACACCGGATGACCGATAAGAAGACTCTAGAAGGTTTGGATTTCGCAGATGATGTATGTCTAGTGTCACAAAAACTCGAAGACTTACAGGCGAAAACCAACAAGCTGTCTGAAGAAGCAGCGAAGACAGGACTTCAGCTGAACATAAAGAAAACAGAGGTGATGATGATAACCAACGAACAGCAGCAACAACAACAACAACCAGCACCAATCTCCATCAACGGGAGAGATTTAACAGAGGTTGCTTCCTTCACTTATTTAGGAAGCATCGTTTCAACTACAGGTGGAAGGGATGGAGATGTCAAATTCAGTCAGAATTGGAAAGGTAAGATACGCCTTCATCAACCTGAAACCAGTTTGGAAATCTACACTCAGCATAAGGAACACGATTCGTATTTTCAACACCAATGCCAAGTCGATCCTTCTATACGGGTCAGAAACTTGGCCAACGTGTCACGAAAAGGATTTCCAACAGGTTGCAGACTTTCATCAACAGCTGCCTTCGCTGACTCCATACTGAAGATCAAATGGCCAGTCAGAAAGAATAAGTAACAAGAAACTGTGGGAACAAACCAACCAACAACTATGTAGGAGAAAATGGAGATGGATCAGGCATACACTGAGGAAACCGTCGAATGACATCGCGCGCCAAGCCATTGCTCGAGTGGAATCCAAATGGGAAGCGACGAGTGGGTCGTCGGTGCAGGGGTGACATGGAGGAGATCGTGTGAGGAGGAGACGAGGGATTATGGTCAATCGTGGATTAAGCTGAAGGGGATGGCAGAAAATAGAAGAAAGTGGAGATGTGCTGTTGAAGCCCTATACTCCACTCGGAACCCAAGGGAATAATAATACCAAATAATACGTGATAGTACTACCTGTGCAGAACCACTGTCTTCCTTGAAAGACTATCTTATTTGATGTAAGATGAAGTTAAGATATCTAGATATAAAAATGAACTGAACATGTTGGATTCGCCATATGGTTTTCCTGTATTTATGACGATATTTTACTCACCCTTTGCCATTGAATTCTAACATTCAACGTTGTTCTAGCTAGATGACAGATCTGCAGATTTGCGTACTAGAGTAAAAAGAATAAATAAATTAGGTAACTGATGGTTTAAGTGACTTCTTTATTTAGGATTTCCTATCCACAAGAATTAACTTTAATAGCTCATTTTTTGATGCAACTTACCTTTTCACTTCCGATTCTCAATGCTTCGTTTTATCAGATTTAGATAAAACTAAGGTGTTTTCTTTATGCATGATAACTTCGACTAACTTTTTATCCTTTTTATTCTCTTTTAGCTCTACTTCGTGGTGTGCAAGAAAAGTGTATTGTACACGATTTACCGTTATTTCCTGAATGTCTTTCGAAGATCGAGGTGAATTTTTACACAGGTTTACAAACACTGTTTTTCTTTATTTTTTGTCTGTCGTGTTAACCAAAACTGACCAACAGTTTGTGGTCTATTAAATTCGCTTTGTCTGTCCAATTAGCTCTCATTATTAATGAAGGGTATTTTAATCTAAGTTATGTATCAGATGTATGAAAAAATGGGGGTTAGCTGGACATACACACTTGTGGTGAGAGGTGTCTGCTAGCCAAAATTGGTAGACAGCAATTTACGTCAATGTTTACTTCCCAAATCTTGGTCATGAGAAAAGAACAAGAACAAAGGCTAACTCAACAACCAATCACAGCAGACTTTGCGTGGGCGGATACGATTCGCAGACATATGGTCTGACCTTCAAAGAAATGGCCACAAAGAGATGACAGAATAACTTTCAGCGAGAAAACAACCAATCAGAAGACGATGTTTCTCTGCTAATAATAACGAATAATAATGTACATAAAAATCTATAAATATCTCTTGATTTTCTCAATAAACGATCTGTTGCCTAGCCCTTGTCTTCTGTCGTTACACACTTAGGAGAACGTGGAGTGATATCACGCACCAGACCTTCCAGTGGTACCTGAATGAGAAACGTCTAGTTGGAGGTCTGAGAGTGACATGCGGGTGATCTTATGAGGAGAAGATGGGAGCTTGTTGGCAATCTTAAAGCCAGTGAAATAGCAATGTGCTTCTGAAACCCCGTGTTCCACTCGGAAACCGATGGGATAATAATGATATTAGTATTTGTTTGAACTGTATGTATGGCAGGCATTGATCCTTACCATGGATACTTAAGTTAACGGGTTAAGTGATTCCACTCTCACAATCCATAAACAAGCATTTTGTAGATGACTTCGAAATAATCATTATTTCTCAAAACTCTTACCTAAAATCATTTAAAAAAATATCCCAATTCTGTCAATCACTTCATCTAGTAGTTTTTTAAACTGGCTTGTACAATATGTAGCGGCCTTCTTGAATCACTGGGCTACCTGAATTTCCATCCGACACAGTGCATCATAATTCTTCTATTTGTTATCATTTTAACCATTCAATTATGTCTTTGAGTGGCAAAATGTACTCATGAACATTTTTGATTGACTTTCAAACTATCGGTGTGCATTCTCTTGAGGTTAAGGGAAAACACCATGGGATAATATTAGTCTATGCTTCAAATCGAACAACAATGCATCAAATGATATACTATAGGTTGCCATTATATACTTGAAGATCCCGAATGAAGAGAAAATATCATGCAATAAATTACGCTGAAAACTCTGTACATTCTGTAAACATTTCATCCAGATTAGGGCTGCTATTATTATTATTAGGTGATGCTTCGTCACCATTTCCATATGTATATAAGAGCCATACAGAAGAAGCTGATCGACTTTGATTACGCCGATTAAAATCCACATGGTATTTGAGAAGTTATCAAGAACATTTAACATGAAATAATTTAGTAATATTGTTTATACAGTTGTGATTTTGTCAAGCTCATAATTCTACGTGGTTTTTTCATCAAATCAAGGGCGTGTTTACTGCGCAGCAGTCCTCTCCCTCCTCCTTTATGTCTGTGAAACCTGGCCATTGAGAGTGGAAGACATAGAAAGGTCAGCTAGCTGTCTTTGATCATAGGTGCCTATGTTCTATCTCCCGTGTGAAGTGGTATAATAGGGTGAGCAATATTGAGGTTAGGCATCGGTCGAGTGCTAGGTGAGGAGGGGAAATCAATAGACGAGGCTGTAAAGTTACACCGATTGAAATGGTTAGGAAATGTGTTACGCATGCCAAGCAATGTTAACTGACATAGGATCAGGTTGGAAAAGAGCCACTGGTGGTCAAACCAAAACATGGCATCAGTTAATGAAATCCACAACAGTTACTTTAAGCCACGTAGGAAAGTGTAGACTTCCTGGTTGGGGTCCTCGGGACAGTAAAAACCAATGAAGGCTGGGGACAGTTGGCGATATGGCTCAAAATCGTTCTCAGTGGCTGGCGCAGATTTATCATATCCAATAAAAATCTGCTGTTCTTCCATATTACTATTCTTTTTCCCTCACACTTCTGTTTATTATCTCTCTTTACTGTCTTCTCTTGCTTTGTGTGCTACACGGAGTGGAATGTTGCAACTCGAACTGCTGCACATTGGTGCAAAGTTCTGCGTTGAAACCAATCAGTCACTTGATTTTTTAATGTCATGAAAATTGTCTAACATGCATCCATAACTCATGTTTTTGTTGTAAACTGACTTATGTGTAACTGATTCTTTGTATGAAATTCTCATCTCACTTTGTTGGTTTTGCGTTTTTTAGTGGTTACGAACCCGTTGGAAGGAACATAAGTGTTATGGTGAATTGGGTGTGGACGGGACAGAATGTTCATTTGTACGATATCTCAGTGAGGTAAGATGTTACATTGAAAGTGTTTGTTTTCAGTTAAAGACAGTATAAAATATTTGCCCCCACTAATTAACTCGGTTCAAGTGGGAACTGAATTGCAACAGAATACTTTCAGAGTATTTATCATTTTGAATTCTGAGCTAGTCAGCTATAATTCAGTTAACTCTAAACAGTCTGTGAGCCAAACTTTACGTGTTACAGCGGTTGACAGTATATTACTCAGTCTCCTACGATAAAATAGATGGAGTGGAATTCACACCTAAGGATCACTGCGGAATGCTAAAGTCAGTGGGTCGCATCTAGACATTCCGACTCAGTGAATTAAATAGTTCGATTTGCGATACAACGATATGATTTGTTTCACTATTTTAAATATTGAAACACATCCAGCTAGTGAAGACGAAAACAACTGAAACGATTTAAGAAACAGCTAATTCTTTATGAAGAAGGCATCGATGAGATGTTGGGTTTCTTATTAGTCTAGTTGATTTCGAGATAAATAATGGCACGAGCTGAAGTCGGCTTAATAAACCATGGAAGAAAAATCAAGGACCATTAGACACCTGTTCTACTGTAGTTTAGAGTCTTAAGAACAGCCTACTTTTAGCCTCACAAAAGTTGATTTCAGAACAATTAGATGAGTTAAAATAACTTTTAAGTGTCCCTTTGTTTTCAGTTGTTGCCTGAATAATTTATGCTCATAACAAAACGAACCTTGTAATCACTAAGGTTCCTACAAATTGAACGTTTCATTAGTGACTACCTTTGGAGATAAATACCCCGAAGGCCTAATTGTTTTGTTTTTTTGTTTTACTTCGGCTATCTCCTACGGGAGGATGAGCCGGCTTCATGAACATCTCGAATCATCGCTGCCCAGGCGCGGCGATCTGATGCAAGGTTTTGCGACAGGGTTATCCAATTCTTGTTCCATAGACGGAGTCCGTAGGAGAGTTCATGAAGTTTCATGGGAATTTGGTACGAGTGATGTCCCCAGAATCGCTCGACCTTTTGTTTGAGAGTGCAGCTCTAGCCTTTACACAACCAAGTGTGACCTACAAGGCAGTAGAAGTGGAGTAGGGAGTCCACTATCCATTGGCAGCCGGTGACCGGAGTTCGGTTCATACGCCATTTGAATGGGGCCAGACATCCAGGACATCCAACAAGCCCTTTGTCCATACGTCTGCCGGTGAGCTCCAGTGAACTTCATACGCCAGTCGTTGGAGGTTTGGAATCAGGGTTTAGCCATCTCCCCTAGACTGTCATCCAATGGACAGTCAACCCAGTGAAGAGCGCCGGGCATCCGCTTTCGCCCTCTCACTTTGGTGAAAAACACCTCCGCCACGTGAAGGCAGTGAGTAGGACTTCCTCAGGAGAGGCTATGTAAGACGCCCGGTCATATGGGAGCATTTCAAGAGGTGTGCGGAGGGGTGGCCAACCCGCAGCGCAAGGCACCCACCTCCGACCATCCTGAGGCTTTGGAAGCCGAAGTCCTAATGAAAGTCAGTGGCTGATAAAGTCCATCAGGTTAAGTGTGGAGATAGTTTCCTACCAATGGGCTAGTAGTATCTCAGTGATGAAATACTTCTTAACCTCTAGGGTCCATGAATATAAAGTATTGGAGAGTAACAAACTTGAATGGAAAACATGTCTAGCATTTGTCTGCTTCAGTTTGTTCTGCGACTTATTTTCACATGATTTACCTTAATATTAATTAAAGATAAACTAGTGTTTGCAGTAGCCTAGACAAAAAAATTGTTCTTTATGCGATCGATGGTATTATCAAACCATCTTTTCATAGACGACTGTATATCATGTCAGCAAAGGATGTACACGGGTACAATACTAGGATCTTCACCGAAGCCTACTACCGATTCAGGAGGTGTTTGTAGTGATCTAGTGCCTGAATTAACCATTCAGACTTAGTTAGAAAGGAGAATTAGACGGTAAATTACGTCGTGAATGGAAATTAACTTTAGAACTACTGAGAACCAAGATACACTACTGTCTTGTTCTTATTTGAAGAAAAGATGTCAAACTGATCTGTCTCACTACTGACAGTCGGTTTTTCAAAAGTATTTTGGAAACACAGGAGAGACGATTCCACCTATGCGACAATTAGATAAATCAACCGCAACAGTGATTTCCAGATCAGGACTGTAATATACAAATGGAAGGTCAGTCATGTTCTAAGCTGTAGACTCTAACATCTAATCACCTCTGAATGCCGCTCTACTTGTCAGACTATCATATGATAGAGATGTGGTTGATTATCCTTCTTTTTTACGCTTCCCACCCAACATATTCTCATTCTTGTCTAAATGGATTTATAATAGAAACTGGTTGTTCATCGGGGTATATGACACAATCGTCTTAGTTCGCCAAAAAACGGAAAGTACTGGGCTAGTTTTGAGGTGAATTAGGGAAAGGTCGCTTATTTATCTAGTGTTGGTTTGCAGGGATTCGATCAGTTATATGATGTTTGATTACGAGTTGACATCAGTCAGAGAACCATTGGAAGTTGTCAGGATGGTAATAGATTGACAGACTGGTTTCCACACACAAAGAAATGATGAACGAAATATTCCCATATTGAGTCATAAGAAAAAGGCACAAACAGCGAAGAAAATTTTCTTTTCGACGATTCATTTTCATGAGCTGTACAATCGTAATTATAATTAACAAATAAATCTTTAGACCAATCAGACACTGGTAAATTTTGTCCTTGGAAAATTGTATTACATAATGTAAGGTGTAAGAAGGGATGACTAATTGTAAGTTAGAAAGGAGACAGAAGTTGGCATGACGTAATAAGTGTGAGATAGTGAACAATCAATAATCTCGTGCAAAGTGGACAGGAACTAGTGGAAAGGCTATAAAGTGTTTTTGTATAAAATATGTATGAAAAACAATGTTATTAATAAACAGTAATAGAGTGGTAATAAAATGTGGATGATGGGGACAAAATGATAATAAAAGTATTAATAAAATAAAATAATAATGGTAATAATAGTGAACTTACATAATAAAGGAAAGAAGCAAAATTGTGATAAGAACTTTACTTTGGCCATGGTAAGGCAAGAGAATGTATCTATCGCTTTTGTATGCAGAGGTCCGGCTTTAGATCTCGAATAGCTAATGCTTCAGCTATGTACAGATGGCGAATCCGAAGTCCTTTTGGACGATATTGAGGGACTCTGTGTAACACTGTGAAGCATTCATGTGGGGGTGCTCGATGTCCAGAGATGACAAGGTGTTCGAGGATCGAGCTGTTGCTATTCTTCTTTTCTCCTCTGGCCAACCAAGCGGGGCAGTGTTCCAGAATACGTTTTTGGACTTGACGTTGCGTACGGCCAATATACTTTGCTCCACACGAGCAAGTAAATTGATAAATACACATTGAGGTGGCCAAAAGCGGTATCTTGTCCTTAGCGTTAGACTGGATTAACTGTCTGCAGGAGAATGTGGTACGTAGAGTGGCTGTTGGAAATGTCTTCTTCAGACATTTAGAAAGGCGGTTTCTGAGAATTTCCGCTGCGACATCACCTTTTTCCAATGGTTCTCTAACTGATAACAATCCGTGATCGAAGTTTAAATTAATCAATTCCTTACAAAATAACACTTGGGAAATAATCTGATGCTTGCTAGTGATTGACTATAGCACAAAGCTGCCTAGAGTTCTAGTGAGAATTCGTAACCAGTGGAGTCCACCAAGTGGTCAGGTACGAGGACAGATACTCACCGGTGATATTGGCTGGCGGTGAGGCTGAAAATCATGAACTGATATAAGTTAGAATTGAGGGGAGATTGGATTCCATCCTAGTGGCTGAATGGTCAACGTGTCCGCCTTGTAACCTGAAGGACCTGGTTTCGATCCCCAGTGGGTAAGTGGGTGCGCTCTTTTGAAGAGTCCGAAACAACTGTCCAGTACTCCCTGGTCTTCAGCTATTTCTCCAACTGATGTCAACCTGTTTTCAAACTATAATATCCTCCAGTTTTGTAAAACATCATCGTATACTATTCAACCAGTGTACACAGTTTAGTTAAACTTACTTTAAATGTCAGCATTGTGCAGTATGTGTTTGATTTAACTGTATTTGTCACCAACGTGTAGGTGAACAAAATTCTGCGTTACAATTCTGTTGTACAAACAAACAAACAAATTTGTATGATACACGTGCAAACGCAATTTCATTATCCTGACATTGGTTTGTAGTTGTTAGTTAATACAGGATATTGATTTTTTTAAAAATATTTATGGTTCTAATGGTTTATTCATATTACAAATTATAATAATCACAATAAGTTATTTAATCTTGACCTCTTGTACTGATGATCACAACCTTTTAACATCATCATGTCGAGTTAGTAAGCAGATTTCGTTTTTCACTGAAAAAACATGTTTTTTTCAAAATAGAGTAGCCAAAACATCGATAATAGGGTACAGGATATATTGAGTCAGTGTTGTATTTTACTCCAGCTGAATTCGAAACAATCCTGAATAAACTTGGAAAACGTAAGGTCATTCCAGTGGATGTCTGTACATATTTTGATAGTAGTTGCATTGCTCATTAGGTTTTGCATCAGAGGTACTTTAAACTGTCTAAAATGTTCTATAAATCCTCGACACAGAACTATTCCTACAGAATCTGTTCGATTTGTTTCGTAAGTGAAGTCAGAATTTATTAATTAACAGCTTAAACACAATTTCCGAACAATACTAAAAGAAATAAATGTGAATCATTCCACGTTGAAACTTGGCGGGTCACAAAGAATATTTCCAACAGCCTGTTGCAGACCTTTATTAACAACTGTCTTCGCTCTATACTGAAAATAAGATGGCCGGAAAGAATCACCAACAAGAAACTATGGGAACAAAAACAAAACAAGAACCAATCGCCCAACAAATATGCAGGAGAAAGTGGAAATGGATTGGACACTCGCTGAGGAAGCCGCTGGGTGACATCGCGCGTCAGGCCAGTGCTCGAGTGGAACCCGAAAGGGAA